ATTTTCCAGCTCAAGATCTACAATTTTACACAAACCTGAAATTTTTATTAATAAAAATTTCAGGTTTGTGTAAAATTGTAGATCTTGAGCTGGCAAATCTAATGCACTAATTACAATTGAAATTCCATACAACTTTTATAGCACTTTAAATACTTCTTTGAATTTTATTGAGTGCTCATCAGAATCATAAGGTGGCTTTTTTAACCATCTATAGAAAGATGCATAATGTTCGCCTCTATCGAATGATGAAAACCACTGACCGATAGCTATTTCCGTTAAAAAGTTATTCAAAAAACAATCACCCTTCTTCTATTTTGAAATAGATTACAGGCATGAATCAAAAAGCTTGATTTCAGTTACTTGAATGTAATTCTTCAAGGTCGAGGAAATGAGAATTTGAGTAGGTCACAAGGTATCTTGCATTTATGGACAATGACAAAGAATAATGAGGAATCCGCTGATCGGAAAGTTTTTTCAAAAGTCAAGAAATAGAATGAAAATAGTTTACTTCTGCTCATATCTAGTCACGATACATGACAATTAACACGTCGGAGCAGCACACAAATTGAAAAAGAACTTTCTAAAATTGAAAACTAATTCTATAGTGTTTAATATTAAAATCTTGATGATAGTTCGTTTTTTTTCTATTCTCTGTCTATTTCAATATAATTTAATTAGAAAGAGAAGCTGTACGTCAACTTATCACAGCAGCAATCAAAGGTCTTGAAGAAAATGGTCGTATTCAAACTAGTAATAATCTGAATGAAAGCGGAAAAGCAGTTCAAGTAAATATGGATTCATTTGGTTCATTATTAGCAAACAGGTATAATAAAAAAAATATATAGAAGTATTTTATTTTCCTTTTCTTTTAAATCTATTAGATTTCCTCAAGTATCATCATTAATGCCTATAACTCCATTAAATGAGAATTCATTCAGACCTATATATCGTCTTCGAACAGCTTCACCGACACAAGGAAAAGTGCGGCCAATAACAGAATTTCATAGTAAATCAATGGGAACATTTCAAACAAATCTTGAATTAATTAATAAAAGTACTGAAACAACATCATTAGATACGAAAACAATTGTATCAAAATCAACAAAAGTATATGTTAATTGTGATATACAAATTTTTACATTATAAGATGATAATGAAGACAAAAGTAAGGTTCCGGAAATGCAAAATTAAAGCAGATTCTTTTTTCTTTTTTTTTATATATGGTTAGATAGAGCTTGACGAGCTGATCAAGAATATAGGTGTTTAAAATTTTTTGGATTGAGTTTTTAGTTAAAAATTCTGAGCTTTTTCCTATGACGTACTGCTTCTAAAAAAAAGAAAAAAAAGTCAATTTTCGAAAACCGCCCAATTT